CCTTATCGATCTGCACACAATACTCCACAATGATAAAGTGAAAACAGTTGTTTGGAGTGTCTTGTAAATGTATTAAAAATAAAAGACTGAAATGTCCCAGTTACATAAGTAGTCAGACCCTTCACTTAATACTGGTTAAAGCACCTCTGGCAGCAATGACAGCCTAAGGTCTTCTTGAGAATGAGGCTCTATGCTTGGCACCTTTCTTTAGGAATTTTCTTCCATTCTTGGCTGAATCATTCAAGGTCAGCCAAGTTGGATGGGGAGAATTGGTGCACAGCCATTTTCAGGTCTCTCCAGAGATACTCTGTTGGGTTCAGGTCTGGACCTTTCCTGGGCCACTCCAGGAGTTTCACAGAGCGGTCCTGGAGCCACTCCTGTGTTTTCTTGGTGGTATGCTTCAGGTGGTTGTCTTGTTGGAATGTAAACCTTTGCCCCCGCCCAAGATCCTGAGCACTCTGGAGAATAGGTTTGCATTCAGAATTGTTCTATATTTTTCTATTTTCCTCCACTCTATCTTGACTGGCCTTCTAGTCCCACTTGGAGCAGAACATCTCGACAACATGATGCTGCCACCACCCTGTTGAACTGTAGGGATGGCATTAGTGAGGTTATGCTCAGTGCCTGGTTTTCTCCACACACACTGTTTGGAATTGTGACCAAACAGTTCAATCTTTGTTTCATCAGACCAGGGGATTTTGCTTCTCATGGTTTGGGAGTCCTTCAGGTGCCCTTTGGCAAACTCCCAGCGGGCTGTCATGTGCCTTTTAGTGAGGAATGGCTTCTGTCTGGGCCACTCCACCATAGAAACCTGATTGTCTAGCAGATGTGTAAAAGTGACAAAAAACATTTATTCAAGTCAGATATTATACATTTATTAATATCTCACATTAAGTACATAACCTGTCAAAAGTAAACATCTCTAACACTGTCATTGATCTATACCTGAGTAATGACAGGGTAGCCTTCTCAAATTTCAGTCTTGACCAAATGATAAGGGGAGAATAACCAAAAAAAAATATCAATCTAAAACAACAGTAGACTGCCAGGTGATAGCATAATCTGTACACCAACAATGTTGCTATAATAAAAGCATTAATACATTAACAGTATAATTTAAAAAAATAACATGACACTTGTTGGGAGTCATTAATCCAAAATGAAGTATGAAAAGGAACTGGAATAATAAGTAAAAAAAAAACTTAAACATTTTAAAAAACATTAAATTCTTAGATATTTCTTTTCAAAAGTGCTGTTTTATCATGACAAGTGCTTACATGACCATTGACCGCTGTAAAAAGCTTATATTACAAACATGTATGTATTACTATTATTACTATTTGAGCCATTATTAATTTGTTTTGTTAGTGGAGAGCAACAGGAAATTTTGGGGCACAAGCAGAGGGGTACATGCTAAAAAGATGCTAGGCCAGATTCGAGCTCAGAACTTGCATGGCACATGTTACATCCCAGTCTTCCCCCTGAATGCTCTCTGACATTTATAGGAGAAGGAAATAAAATGAATATGACAGCACTCAGAGAGCGCAAACCTCCACCAAGTTGGTTGAGTTTCCCATAATGCCATTAAACATATTTATGGGTTGGAATAATGATTCGGGGCAGCACCAAAATATATTATTCCATGGTCCATGCCATGCCTCTCCAAAAATTGTCATCAAATTCCATTTGAGTTTTGCTGTGAACAAACCAACAAACTGCAGTAACAACAAAACCTCCTGGGTGGAGGTAACATCATCTAAAAACAAGAAAAACAAATTAAAATTCATGCTTTGGTGGTTCTCCTTAGCTCTACACCTGATAAGAAGCCATATAAAATCTCAGAGGAATATGAGGGGTTGAGATAAGTAACGGATGAGGGTGAGACTCCTGTGTGGTCATATATATGGAAATCCTTCCCTGTCTGTCTCACACTTATTCAGCAGACTTGATGCAATGGCCTTCACAGCTTTCATAGTCTCAGTACAGGTTGGGTTGATCAGGGATTCAGGGAGGAGAAAGCCAAAGTGTCCTGTGTCCCTCAGCTCAAATGCAAACGCATACTGGATCCCATTCCTGTAAGCCCAGTCTATAGAGCTCCCTGAGCTCACATCTGTAAGAAAGTAAGAAAAGATGAGAACATTAATGCCTGACAATAAGTTCTGTTTTGTTTGCTAAATGTGGAAGATAAATTAAAAAGAAGGAACAGTCCTCACACAGAGTTGTTGAAGCAGGTCCATATCTGTACCTCTCTCCATATGCGGAGTACAAGGCTGTCACCGCATTATGAGCAGCTGACTCCTGGAAAGTGAGAGCAAAAAGCCAGCTCATAGTTGATATACAGTTCTTCACTGTAGGAGTTAATACCTGGGTTGATTGGGTTAAGCTAAAGGAGCCCTCACAGATGGATAAAAACAATGGATGTCTTACCACACAGTTGAAGTTGGGGATAGTGGCATACTTGTAGGAGTAGGGGTAAAGCAGCATTTGGGCGTAGGCGTGGATGGATATGTATGCCTTGACACGCTTCTTGCGCTTGCGCAGGAACTTGGCCACAGCCTTGACTTCAGGTTCAGATTCAGGGAAGGGACCACAGTAGGTGTCATCACAGGGATGAGAGGAGGCACCCTCCTCTGGGGAAAAAAGGAGGAGCAGAGGCCACAGTCTGATAATATAATCACACCAGGCTGCATTAAGTGAAAGTGCCTGGTGCACAAGTCTAATTTTTGCTCATATTTCTATCTGATCACTGTGATACGGGTTTGGACCCAGTCCAGCTACAATGACTACGCAGTCAGTGTGAGGAGATTGAGAGAGAGATGATTTAGGAAAGGAAAATGCAGAAAGACTGAAATCGTCACAGTCACATTATGATACCAAAGATAACAGAAAACAATAGAAGTCAATGTTTTTGTATGGTTTGATGCGACGTTTGAGACTCTCACAAGCCCACTGGCTATTAATACATTAGCATATTTTGTGTTTAGAACAGTAAACATCATTGTGCCCTTGAATGATGCAAAAATAAGCCCAAACCTGCTGACAAGAGCATGTCATAGAATTTACTGAAATGTGCATGAATAATTACTGAATCACACTCATAAATATTGCTGTAACCTTTGACACCAGACTGTCCAATCATCGACATTGTGGTGTCTTAGTTTATTAAGCCGCTTTTGCTGGAATTTGCTACTCAGAGAAATGACAGTCCTCTTTGCAGCAGTATAAAATGGTGGAGTAAGGAGTAGATTGTGTGCTGTTTCTCATGTGTGGAGTCTGTTCCCTAGGCCCAGAATAAATACATTCATTTAAGTCCGCGGGCACTGACCAGAGACTGCATTTAATACATCACTTTGGCATTGCTCAGCAAGATCCCAACACAGCTGGGCACAGGTAAGTGCAAGTAGTATTAGCCTGTGAGAAGTATTATTTCTTTCCCTGGTTTAAAACTTGTGCATTGCCTTATGTCCTTTTAAGGTTACTTTAGATCCTGTTACACTGCCCATTCAGTGTGGGAATTTTCTGTGAGTTTTCCTCCTCACCATTCTGTGTAAAAGGTACAGTCCTGAAATGGGGGTTGAAAATGACCCACCAAAATGCTGCAACAAAAGGTAATATTTTTGCCAAGATAAGTCTCCTCTACAAACAGGATAAGGCGGAATTGGGGGGTTGGAAGTCCACGTTTGAGAGAGAGCGAGCCAGAGAGCAAATGAGGAGAGCGAGCAGCGTCAGCGAAAACAAAGTGATTCAGAGAATTAAAATGTTACTTTGTGATTGTTTCTCTGTGGTTAAGTTCTAAAGCACAAATAAACACAGTTCATTGCATTAAACATTGTGAAGCATTCAATTTTGACTAAAAAGTTTAAATGTGATTTTGCATGCATGTTATATAGATGTGCAGATCAGTGCTGGAAAATAGCCACATTAATATTGTGTTTGATTTAAAACATATCAGCCAGCCCTAATTGCTTTCACTGTGCAGAGAAAGGCTATCAAACATTCCTTAATGAGGTATTACAAAGATTTTAAAAAGAAAGAATCAAAAGAAAGGTGCCAGTGCTTCACTAATCCAATCTGGCAGTTCCATTAAAATAATTGCAAAAGAAATTGCAGAGTAGTTTGTCTTGCCCTTCACCTTAACTATAACTGGGTCAAGTGATCAGGAATGGCCAAACGCTCAGTGAGAAAAGTTGCCGACAACATTTGTCTTCACACAAATGATGTTGCCAGAAATTGTCTTCAGAGAAGAGAGAATTATAATCATACTATTCATACAATGAAAAATACCTACTGTGCATACTGTCAGTGATTTCAGAGTACGTGTTCCCACTGACAGTGGGTTCTCTTGAAGTACTCACATTTTGTCAGCTAATGCTCCTTTGAGAAGGCAACAAATGGCCCTTCAGTCTCTTTTGTTTCTAATCTCACATCACTTTATATATACATTATGTCTGTCTGTACCACAAACATCTTTGCTGTATTCTCCAAGCCCTGCTGTAGTGACAGTGATTCAGCAGAACCCACCACCCACCAGATACTACATGACATCGAACACAGACTGTTGTCACCATACAAATATTTTATCCACAGCTTACATTCATTAATAGACAAAAAGGATTACTGTACTTGAGCAACAGACAAGGACGTGCCTGGCCAAGATGCAGCTGGTGGTAACAGCAAAACACTTTTAGATGTTCTGTATAAATAAATTAACTTGACAGTCAAACTCACCACACCATTTCACTTTCCAGTTTCTGTTAGCATCCACTCCTCTGCAGTGAAACTTGTGATTTTTGGACCGTGTTTTCCTCCAGAACCGATCCTACAGGGAAAATTTTAAAAAGACATTGTCGCTGTATGTCCACTATCAGATTTGTCACACAAATGGAGTCACATGTCATTTCCAAATTAGTCTATCTGTCACTCATTCAGCTCTAGTGAGTCTGTTACAAACCACAGATATGGAGACAGCAGCTGAAGGCCATTTATTGGTACTTCTACAGAGGGGTTTCACCTCTGGCCCTATGCAGAGTTTCACAGCACTATAAGATAAGGGCTTAAAAGTAGCTTCTGCTCATCAAATATTTTGAGTCAGTCTGTTTGAAAATTAAACTCAACAATAAAACCATTTTGTATGTGTATGTAGAAAAACCTTGGTCCAGCTGAAATGGTATCCATCCACATTGAAGACAGGCATGATGTAGAAGTTGAGATGGTTGAGCAGTCGTCTCATCGCTGAGTCATACTGATATGAGTTGATGGCCTGTAAGCATAATAGAAAACAGAGTAACTATACAGCATACTAAAGTGTACTTCAACTGATGACATAGATCTAGAGTGTGGTCTAATGATGCAGTTAATGTAATTGCTATGCTATGTTTTCATTAATGAGCTTATGCAAGCTCACCATCTCAGTTCTTTGAACGCATGGCTAGAGGCAGTTAATACTAATACTATTATAGATGAGGATTAGAAATAGGGGATCTGGATACTGGGCTGATGCTGGTTTTACCTGCTCTGTAATTATACTAGGGCCAAGGTTAATATACAATACTTGAAGTACTAAACAAAGATGGTACCCTGACCTCCAGTGGCCAACTTCAGTTACAACATCCCACTGAATTCATGTTTTAGGGCATATCTGACCATTTCTTAAACACAAATCTTTTCACCTTTTACATCCATCTGTTTCTGATTTCCTGCAAAAAGAATGACTGTGGGGCACAAGGAATCACTGTTTTATAAATAGCATGGTCCCATAAGCCCTAGAAAGCTTTAAAATGTGCATGGTACACATAGTGACACTATTTTCTCCTCAAAATCAGTTCATTTGGTTGTCAGGGCTTGAAATATTTTTTAGTATTTGTTTAAATATTTTTGAAGTACCTGTCATTTGAGATTTATCTATAGGAACTGTTAAAATAGTCTATGACTCAGTGCCTTAAACTGATATATTTTCCTTTAATTATACTAACTTTCTGACATCCATTGTGTTGTACTGTGTAGCAAATCTCACTCATCTATAAAAGTTGTCATTACAGGTTTTGCAGTTAATTTCTGGCTCTGGTCTGGTATCGTCTACACTTCAGATGGTACTGACTAAGACTTTAGGAGCGACTGACTTGTGTAAACATCTGGATTATATTCAACATCTGAACAATAAAGGGTATTCTTAGGTAGTTTCATAACTGTGCATGACTCATAAACAGTTGACTTTTTGTCATAGGAAAAAATGACAGACTGCTGGTTACAGGCAGCTTTCAGGCTATCATTCAGACTAAATTAATGATATAACATTTATTTTTGTTGAGACATGTGCAATCATACAAACAATGCACACATTTTTTTAAACTAAATTTGTAGTCTAGAAAAACAAGACAACCTCTTTGACAAACCACTGGCAGAATGCAGGCCCAATCCACTCTCTAGCATGAACACCACAGTCGATCCACACAGCTTTCTTCTGGGGATGACTTCTCTTTCCTAGCTGACAGGAGACAAGCATCGTCAGTTTTAGATAAGCACGATTATGTATTTGCATGCAACTGTGTGTGTGTGTCTTTTGCCTTCTCTCCTACCTGAAGCACATGAAGTGGTCTTCCCTCGTACGACTTCCCGACAGAGAACACGTCAACCAGTTTGGGATGGGTTCTATTCATCTCAAACATCCAGCTCTGGATCTGAGGGACAGAACATAAAGTATGAGAGTGAAGGTCAGTCAACGATTTGTTTACAAAGTTTTCATGAACAAATTGGGGAAAAAACAAAAGCAGACAATAAACATTAACTTGCTAGAGTGATCAGGTGGAGTACACTGAAAAAAAAGATTTGTTGGATTTACTTGATTGTAATGTGTACATCAGTCCCACACAATGATAATGTGTAAAACCAACATAATTTTCTTTAGGGGTTAACTTGTTTGAATTATGTTAACAGAGGAATTATGAATGAATTGCATTGCATATACTAGCATAATTTGTGTAAATCCAAAGACCCGGTGAGTCCTATTTTTCAGTGTAAAAACCTTCTAGTACACATTTTTATGCATGTAATGTACATCTGTGCATTTGTCTTTGCATGATTTGTCTGCAAAGGCACATAGTGTGAGTGCACAAGGTTGTGGAAGAGAGACCCATGGAATGGGAGCAATGAGAGCACCTTAGAGAAGAGGTGTGTTTACTTTGTGTGAGCATTAGATTAGAGAAAAGAGAGCAGTCACAGTTAGGTAGACGTGAGCTTCACATCTACCTCTTCCAGAGAGTGGTAAACCTCATAGTTGTACTGAGCCGTTGATCTCCGCTTGCGAGAAGAACGATATCCTGTCTGCTTTTCAATTTCCTTCTGTAGATTGGAGATAAACACCCTGTACATGGAAGAGGGCACGTTAGACACGCTGATAAATGACAGCAACATCTTTGTCAATAACATTTAAACATGTAAAAATTATGCATCAACTGGCTTCTGTCCATCCCTTTAATAATATTGTTGCAATACTTGGATTACTTTTTTTTTTTCATTTTTGTACTTACATTGGCACCACATAATATAGATATAATTGGTCAAGAAATCTTTTAATAATGGTTTATAGATCAGCAAAAATCCATTGCCGATTAGTGTATCGCTGTTAAATCAGTTTGATATATATATACTAGTAATACCAAATCAAATATTATGAAATATTATGCTGGACAGAAGACAGAGTTATGCCAGAGGAGGTTATACAAAGGGACATGTAACTAATAAGATAAGCTCAATAGTTTTCTGAGCTTTCATTTACAACCTACAGTCTTCATAAAGAGCTATGGATCTAAAAAACATTAATATATAATTTAATTACGTTAAAAAGCATTACAAACCATTTATACAATATAGCTTGTAAAACAGCAAAACATAACAGTATGTTAAATTAATTCAGATTTGATTTGTAGTGTAATTCAATTTCTAATGGGTTCTCCATGAATTTGTGAGCATGTAAGCAAAATGTCCTTGCTGTCTCGCTGTGACATTTGTGTCTCTTTATGTCAGTAAGCCTAACTTGCAGTAAGAACAATTTTGCAGATAATTTCTAACAGTGTCCCTCTGTTTGACTGTAATGTCTGGTCTGCATTGAGGGCTGGTATTGTATGAAGTGGTGAACCAGGGGTCCTGAATTTATTGTTGACTCATTCCTATCACCAATTAGTATATACAACAGTTCTCACTCATCTTATTATTCAACATCCAAACCAGTTTTCTACAGTAGCGCTCACCCTGTGTGATAGCACTAGTTACGTATACCTCTGCTGTCTATTAATAAACAGAAAACATTGAACATGGTCCAGAAACCATAATACTAACTATTGTCTCTTCATAAACTCATGTCTGGCCAGACCGTATGCCTCTCCACATCCCACGCCAACTTAAAACAGATGAGATATTTTTTTTTAGCTGATATGTAGGCCACCAGACGTTCCTTGAATACACTACAGGCCCTTATACTATCCATAACTACTTCAGTAACACTAAAAAAGCTAGACTGTTTCCCTGTAAATGAAATGCGATCAGCCAACCAAAGACTGTCTATTTTGACAAATCTTCAGTCAGTCAACAGACAGAAAAACCCTTCCTTAGCGCTGCAGTTGTTCCTTTAGGACAATGATGACAATGAAATTCTTTTAAGCTGCGGCTGTGGCTGCCTAGTAAAACTCCAGTGTGAATTTTGATAAGAGATGGGCCTGAGAGATGAAAGAGTTATTTTTCAGGAGCAGAATGAGAGAGGGATTCTGATGGGCTGTGTATGTTTCATGGTCCCAGTTTTGGGGAAGTATGAGGTCTTTTGCATGTAAACTATGGTGACTCTGTATGTGCAGATCACATATTCTGGCAGAGGAAGATGGGTAAATGCAACACACTTTGGATGACAGATTTGTCTGGAGGTGTAGGTGTAGGATTATTACGGAGGTCTGGGGCTGTACATCCACAACTTCTGGTGCACAGCTATGAGCATCATTGGAACACACTGTTTCCCCGACTTGGAATATCTGGCAGTGAAATGCAGACCTTTTAAACAGTGAGAGAGTTTTGCTCAATCCTGATTGTAGCCATCTATATACCACCGCATGTTAACGCTAAATTAGCGCTGGAGAAGCTATACTGCCTGATGAGTAGGCAGATGAATGCAAACCCAGAAGCAGCTGTGATTGTGGCTGGAGACTTTAACCATGTGGAACTTAAAGCGATGTGTCCCAAATTCTACAGATTCATCAATTTTCCAACCAGGGACAATAATATCCTGGACCAAGTTTATTGCAACATCCCGGGAGCATACAAGAGAGCAGCTCCACACCTGGGCATGTCAGATCACATCTCTGTGGAACTGATCCCAGCATATAAACCTCTGATCTGCAGGACAAAACCAATCACCAAAACAGTTAAGGTGTGGATGGAGGAGGCTTTTTCAGCATTACAGGATTGTTTTGAGCACACTGACTGGGGGGTGTTCAAAGAGGGCTCAGACCTGGAGGCTTATACATCAGCTGTTCTGGACTATGTGCAGTTCTGTACTGATGCTGTCCTACCTACAAAGTCCATCAGGGTTTTTCCAAACCAGAAACCATGGTTGGACAGTACAGTGTCACGTCTGCTCAAAGCTTGGGACGCTGCCTTCAGATCAGGTGACAGGCTGGCCTATAGCAGGGCCCGGAAAGAACTAAAGAAGGGCATCCGGCTGGCCAAAAAAACAGACTACAGAGGCAACAACCAGCAGGTCAGCCATGATCCCACCCTCCCTGACACTCTGAATAGTTTCTTTGCACGCTTCGATACACCTGGCAGCAGAGAAACTGTACATCTCCCTCAGCTCGAGGAGCAGCACCAGCCTCTTGTCCTGCAGCTACACCAGGTGAGCTCCACCCTGAGGAGGATCATCACCAACAAAGCTGCAGGACCAGACAGGGTGTCAGGACAGGTTCTGAAGATATGTGCTGACCAACTGGCAGGAGTTTTCCTGGACATTTTTAACCTGTCCCTGCATCTTGCTTCAGTCCCTGTGTGCCTCAAGTCCTCCATCATTGTGCCTGTGCCCAAGAAATCAGCTGTCACCTGCCTCAATGATTACCGCCTTGTTGCTCTAATATCAGTAATCATGAAGTGCATTGATAGGATCGTTCTAAAGCACATCAAGGAAGTCATCCCTGTTTGTCTGGACAGCCATCAGTTTGCCTGCAGAGGATGCTGTCTCAATAGCATTACACACACAGCCCTGTCCCACATGGAGCATCCTAACACTTACCTGTATGTCAGATGCTATTTGTTGACTTCAGTTCGGCATTTAACACTGTAATCCCAGAGAAACTGGTACTGAAACTGCACAATCTGGGAATGCCTGCAATGATGTGTCATTGGATTAAGGACTTCCTCACTAACAGGCCTCAAGTGGTGAGAATTGGAAGCTGCACATCATCTACACTGGTCCTGAACACAGGCACACCGCAGGGCTGTGTGCTCACAATGATGAGACTGACTACAGAAAGGAGATCCAGCACCTGACAAGGTGGTGTTCAGATAACAATCTTGTACTGAACACCAACAAAACTAAGGAGGTCATTGTGGATTATAGAAAGTCCAGGAAGACAAAATATGCTCCTCTTCTCATACACAGGGAGGTGGTGGAGCAACGGGATAACATCAAGTTCCTGGGCATCCACATCACGTCTGACCTGAACTGGTTTCTGAACACATCCTACCTGGTAAAGAATGATCAGCACCAGCCAGTCACCTCTTAGACCAACAGAAAAATGACACAGTGAAGATAAGGTGAGTTCAACCAAATGTCCCAGAGTAAAAAAGCTGGAAACACTATGATGTGCACAAGGAAGACACTGGTGGGCTTTGTAAGCTGCATGACAGACTACAAGAATATTGTGTTGACTCCCTCTCCCCCAACTCCTACAGACATGTTTTTTGTTTGTTTGTTTATTTGTTTTTTATGTACTATTAAATCAACATAAATAGGCCTTTGGGGATTATAATAAAAACATGGGAATGTGCAGAGGGAGATGATGAGGAAAATGTTGGAGGGTAAAGACAATTACAGCTATAAGACAGAGAGGGTAATGTAGACCAGAATAGCATAACGGCATAGTGGAGTGGGATGAGTTGGATGAGCTGTGTACTTGAGTGGGAGATGGATATTGCTGATTGAACCTATTCTTCATTAGATTTGACATCTGAACCCCCCTATTTGTTCATATTTTTATACTGACTTATACAATTGTGTGTTATGTAAATAATGTGTCTGTCTTTTAAGCCGAGAGCTGCCGGCAAAAAAATGTTGTTGTGCTATGCATAAGGACAATAAAGATTCTTGACTTGACTACATGTGTGATACTATGCAAGCTGTATTTACAGCTGGTGGTGTTTTGGTCTTACCGATAAGCAATACGCTCTTGGTTTAAGCGTGCACATAAAGTATGTGTGTCATTGTGTTTCACATGGACATCCACTGTGGCATTGTGACAGATCAGAGACGCACTGTTGGGCTGCCAGAAGTCCACCTAAAGGAACATGACAAGGACATTAGATCAAGGGTTACAGTGACATGAACATGCGTGTGTGTGTTGTCCCTGATAAATAAATGAATAAAGCAGAATAAAAACTAAAACTACAGTTAGACATGAAGTGAATCAGGGAATGTTGACGACTCTCCAGTGTTAATGCAGCAAAGTACAATCTGACCCATTAACAACCAGCAGTGACAGACCCTCCCTCTGCTCTCCTCCTCTCTACTGTTTAACATCATACAGCAACAAAAATCCTGCCTTTCAGCCCCTGTTATCAGGCCATGATAGTTGGTCTGTTAGCTTTAGCTGAAACACACAGCCCATTGGCCAAACATGCTGGCCAACCAAATAAGCACAGACACCGTGCAGGCTCCTGATAAAATAACAATGAGCAGGAGTGAACCTAAAAGAAAGATTAAAATAATATTTCTGAGCATATACTGTAGGAAGGTACTCAGCTACAAATAATAGCAGTCGCTGCGAAGGGACTACTGTATATCCAGTGTCTGTGTTAGCAGACGTGTGTGAATGGCCTCAACTGCTTTTTATTTGTAGCATGGAGACATATGCAGGCTGGTACACATGCTTGTTAATGTGTTGGCTGTTTTAAGGGTTTACAGAACATATGCCAGATTAATTTAACTTTCCTTAGAGCCAGAAGAGTAGAAAAGCCTCAGCTGGAATGTTCAGTGCCCTCGAGCGTAAATCGCTTTCTACTGCTGCATTTTTACAGTGTTTCCAAATGGTTAAGTACCCCCAAATGTTTCAGTGCTGCTCCTCTGTTACCCAAACAATTACAAAACACATGTCTAAAAGGAACTTAAACACCCCCGATCCAATAACACAACTCCTCACAAGCGATTCCTTAAAATTTTATAGCTGTATTTATGAGTCTTTAAGATGCATTCTTAGTATGCTTTATAAATCTTTCATCTCTGTTTATGTGACTTTGATTTTGTCTGTCTGCATATACAAGGTGGCTGTAAATTGCATTTGTGCTGTTTTGTTTGATGCAATAGTGCATAACAAGAAAGGAAAAGTAAAAAGCTTAGTTCTCTTAAGGCAGATGAGGTGAAGCAGTGTTTATACTATATGTCAAGTCAAAGAAAACAAGATGGCCAAAGTAAAATCCAGAAGTTATTAAACACACATTATAACATAAATATGTCCACCTGCTGTATGTGTTATGGATCACACCGGCAGTTTGACAAGTTTGACAGCCAGATATTCTGTTCTAATGTGAATACATTCAAAAATGCATTCATTTTGAAAAACATATTATAATATTGTTTTCTTGCTTAGAGCTGGATGAGAAAATTGACACATGGATGTGTGATAAAAATGAACTTACAGCTAGCAGTCAGTTAGCTTAGCTAGCTAGCTTAGCTTTGGGAACAGGGTGAATCAGTTAGACTGGTTAGAAACAATTTTCCTGTTGTGCTCTCTAATATTTAACACCAGATTATAGCTCTTGCTAGGAAACTGTTCAATAAGTTATAAGAAAATTGCAAGAAAATGTGTCATGGGGCTATGATTTACAGGCTAGCAGTGGTATTACTGCATAGACATTTGGTCAGTATGTGGACGGTGTGAACAAACATATACCACCTGAGCTACAGTAGCTGGCTTTATTAAAATGTTGTCAACCTGTCTCTCTACAAAACAAACAGACTGCACTAATGTCCAGGCATCACTATCATTATGCTACCAGTGTCTGCTACCCTGTTGGTTTTTCCTTTTTGCTTCCTTATGTCATTTTATTTTGAAACTCCTGGGTTAGAGGTGCAAGCATCCTGTAGAGGCTGTATTTATCCAGGTCTCACTGGGTAACCGATAAGGACCAAGCCTTCCTGCAGATTAAATGTAGGCTGTTTTCTGCACATTCTGAAACAAAATTGGTGAAATAAAGACACTTCCAGTTATTCAACTAGTGTTAATGAGTTGTTGTTTATTCCATATTGGTTAATAGTTGGCAGATGTGGCAGCACAATCCATCCTACAGGTTCCTCAGCCACTTCTAAAAAAAATCAGCGGTTGTTCTCTTTGATTTATTAGTCATTAGTTATTCATGTGATCAGCAGTATCACACAAATATGCTTTTATTTTTAAAAAGCACAAATGCACTAAATACACTAATACACAAAATACTGTTCTAAAAGATTTGAAAGAGTTTTCAGCTTTTCAAAGCTGTTATTTGACAATTTGCAGAATAAAAATTTCTTTAGTTGAGAACAGTCCTTTTTGCTTTTTACACTTTACAAACTGTCTAAAGTTTGAAAACTGAAACAATGCTTGAATGAAGGTCACACATGGTCCTGAGGCTCATGGGTAATTACTTCCAAATGAGTTTTGGGAAAAGAGACAAGGCTGTTGTATCCTCAAGGGCTTCCCCCTAATTGCAGTATCTTTGAAACACATGTTCACTTAGTCCTTAAATGGTAAGACAGCCAGGCACTCAGCCCCACAGTAAAAAAAATCTTTGTACTTTCTCCCATTCTTCCCTCTGGGTTTCTTATTGAAATAAATACGGCACATCTTACCATTAGTATATCAGTCCCTCAAACTGGAAATACGGCCTGGATGAGACAGATGATGACACTTGGCCATTTGTTGTCTCTCCATTTTTCCTATCATTCTCCCCTGGCTTCTGTCACATCAACCCCCTTTACCACCAGTGTCAACCCTCACTATATCTGTGAATACTGCTCATGTGTCATAGAAAGAGCACTGAGGACTTTAGGCAGGTAACCAACAACAGCAATTAAATTTTAATGTAATTAACACTGATAATGGCATTTCTGGGGGAAAACACTTTTTAAAAATTATATTTAAGTGAAATTATTAACAGTGTATGATGGAAATGATCAAATCAAGTGTAATGTCAACTGAAAGCTGCTGTTTATGTTTGATATCGGTTAAACTATTGTTAAAACTCCTACAACAGGGAGAGAGGTGTGCTTACATTTTGGTGTTGTTCCACTGTGTTTCATGCTGCTGTCTGGCACTGTCTTATCTGAATATGGCAGAGGGTATGCATGCTGCAGTGTTCTGCACAGGGCACTGAGCTCTGTATGCTCTGAATCCTGTCACAGAGGTTTTATAATTAAACACCACAAAAGACAGATCTTGTGGTCTTGACTTTATTGTATTAATTTCAATAAAACATGTCTGACAGATTATTTAAAAGATGATTATGTGTGTGCAAAGGGAATATAAGAAAATATATATGCCAACCTTCATATGTCCCAGAATTTGCTTGAGCACTTGGACCTCCTCATAATTATTCGGAGTTATCCTGAAGACTTGGTCGCTGAAAGAAACAACAGAGCTCCTCTAAGCATCAGGTTACAATAGGGATCAAAGTGCCCCAAAGGGATTTCATGCCAGTAAAATTCACTGTAAAGGGCTTGGACCATTTCAAAATCATCTGGGCCATGGAATCACAGGTAATGCAAACTGCTTTTGTTCTGACTGAAGGTGACACTTATAGTAGCAGATGTTTGATGGTGAAATGGGTGGCTCCTCTTTTACAGTCCTATAGATGATAGGATCAAACTGCAGTCAAACCATCTATGTGACACATCATTATAGGATTATATTTCATCATTTCCAACTTTGCTGGAACAATTCTCTTTAGTGGATACAGTAGCAGTTTCACGTTTCCATACTGTAAATACATCAATAACCTGTTTATATCTCAGCTGTCTATGGCGAACATTTTAAAGCACTAATATTTACCAGTTTGTCAAGCAGGAGGACCCAGAGGGAAAGAAAATTAGAAAAGAGGTCTAAAAAATGTTTCATTTATTTCTCCTAGACAACAATGAGATCTTTGTGTAACCAGAATGAGACTATGTCTTATTGGCTTATTACTCCTGTCTCTCAATTTTTTTCCAGAACAAAAGGATGCACAAAATCTCAAATTTGCTTTTTTTTAAAGTTTCAAAGGAGATATCATCAAGCTCAGAGATAATTCTCAGATTATATGCGTGCCTCTTTGTGACCTCACACAGAAAAATTCAAGAGCTCTCTCCATGAATTCTCAGTGAATTCTCAGCCAGACTTAATGTGTTTTTATTATTTTTTTTTTTAAGTCTTAGAAATATCATTACCTGACTTCCCAACTTGCCCTACTGGGTGGACCCAACATTTCTTCCAGTGGTATTGCTCATGTGCACCTGGTTTTGTTAGATTATTTTTTTGTTGTGGATGTTGCAGCAGTGCACTGGTTTATTATTTCACCCTGTATCACTGCTGACTAGTCTTGTGTAGTTATTTTTACCTTGCCACCCCAAGTGTAACTGGTGTTGCAATTCATGCTCTGCCCTCTTGTTACACTATTATGTTATTATCCTGGGTGCCTTGTGCTTTCTGTGGCTCTGCCAAAATAAAAGGATGCTGCCAAAGATTCTCTATAGGAGGCAAAAAGGAGCCATTACTAACACTGAGTCCATTTTAGTGCAGTATCTCCTCCCTTATGCCTCATGAATGTTACTCAGTATCCTGTCTCAGCTATTTCTCCTAGTGAATTTTAGGAGAAACACATCATGACAAAGTAAAAACTAAAATGAGGCTAAAATGAGAATCAAAATTTTGTCTCCAGAGATGTAGAAGAGCAATCTTTGAGCAGTAAAATGTGCCTCTGGGAAATAACAATTATCAGTTGTCCATTATTTTAGTGTGTTTGACAATGCCTAAATCTAATCTTAAGTAGTTGTGGCTTTATCCAGATAATGTAACTCGTTTACAACATGAAAAGCAAAACATTGTGCTATGTGTCTGGTTAGATTAAACCACAGATAGATGGTTGATGGTAAAGGGGCAAACAAAGACAGTCTGCAATTACAGAAACACTAGCAATATGTCCTGACTCAGTCCACTTTCATGTCTCTCTCCTTGAGTTTTCCACTGAGTGTCTCTTGTCATGTTTCACTTCTTTCAAAGAGCTTTTTTACAATATGTCACAAAGAAAGTTGGGCCCCCCTAAACAAAGATGGCAGTAGGCCATTATAAAGTTTGGTGAACAAAATGAGAAGGGTGCCCAGCATGAGCAGCCATCCCATTTCAGCGATCACAACACGCTGTCCAAAGAAACAAAAAGAAAAGAAATGAGGAAATCAGGCCATTTTCATGGAAACAGCAATGACAGAAATGGACTTCAAAGTGCAAAGGTGGTGAGTAGTTCATGGGGGTAAAACTATTGTTAGGACAGGTGGGAAACTGATTCAGACTAAGACAGTCAGTGCCATGAATATCAGATCTCAACATCAAAAGCAAACCTGTAGTAAAATATATTGAATTCTATCTGTCCTAACTAACATATAACTTTTTAATCAAGCCTCACTGATGTAACTAAATAGGACATGTGTTTTGTTTTCACTAGTGCACACAGTACCATTCTGCACTGCCACACACAGTGCCTGAGAAAGTAGAGTGACATCCCCGAGCTCCATTGTAGTCCAGCTTGAACCACTTCTTCATCTTTTACTGATTCTTAACATCTGCAGGGCGTTCTAGATTAAAGCAGTCTTTGAGCTGTCCGTGTTGATTCCCAGAGCAGTATTCTCTCTGGGATGGAAGCTATTTGTTTTCTAGATAAAATTTGCCCCTAAACCAAGAAGTTGGCCTTCAGCAGTATTTTGATGCTGTAGTATAGTACAGTCATCATCTCTCCACTTGCAGTGTCCAAATCTTGGTGTTTGAGAGCACGATGCTCTGATGAATGATATCAGATTGTATGAGAATAAAGGGCTTCTTTTTATACTAAACGCTCTTTGTAAGGCTGAGCAGGACAGCACCTCCACATCCCTGATTTCTGAGTGAAACACTGCACATTGTGACTTTTTGCATCAAACCAGAGGCAGTGTGAAGTATGCAATTTTTGGAATAAATTCAAAATACAGTATATGTTGATTGAGACAGGTAAGAAGGGAATTTCCAGCAGATGTGGTCTCTCTCTACCTCTATTATACACAACTGCCATATGCATCCAGCTCCAGATGGTCTAATTTGAAAAGTCTATTTATCCATATGCTTCCCATGTTTCACATCCAAGTTCAAATCCTTTTAGGGTCTTGGTGTACCCCACATTCAAATGCACATGTAGACAGACTGGAATACCAAAACCACTGACAAAAATTGCTGTTATGACATATTTGTTCTTGTAATTATAGAAACACCTGGCTCCACAACGTCAGCTGGGAATTGCTGTCATCTTACAACTACAATTTCTTAAATTAATATTGACAGACTGCTGCTGCTGCTGCTGTCATGGGCAACAGCCCAGCATAAAACATACCATCTTATCCAAATGTCCAAATGCCACCGAGGTTAGACTGGAAAAAATACAAAGTAAATTAAAAAACATTTTCTTATGTCTCAAACAGGAAATATGTCCTAAAACGATGGAGATGGTGAGCACAAATACTTGCTTTGTTCATTCGTTGTCAAAATAAGATAATGCTCCTTTTGATATAAAGATACCTGCACATAACTTATGATAACTGCCATCTCGGCTCTCTCTTCGAGAGTCTTAGTATGGTCAGGCTCACATGAGCTCCAGAAATGAATGAGGATCTTTACTCACCCTGCGTAGCGGTTGTTGTAGAGATATGCACCGACGGGACATGACACATTACTGCAGATTATCACGCAAGCCAGTAAAACGGAGGCGCGAAATGCGTCCATGTGGTCCAATGCCATGCTTGGCGAGCAGATCAAAGAAGATACCTGTTGGACCACTCTGCAAAATGCACGCCAACTTATCAAAAAAGAAATCCCACCGACTCGGACCAGCGCGCTGTCCCACGATTGGCAAAGTCACTTATCTTGGTGCGGTGCACACTGGCGTTGTTCTCCAACTGTCAGACGGTTCCAAAGGTGCGAAAGTCGGTCAACTGGCATAGAGGAAGTATTTACTACTTTGAAGCACTGGAGGAAATTGAAGGGTAGCAACAGCTCCTTTTAAAATGAGGAGGACCCGAGTCACGTGGCCCGGTGTCGGTGAGGTTGGTAACCGGATCCCTCTCCGGTGCGCACTGTGCGCTCGATGCTATATACATAAAACCTACACGAAATATGATTTAAAATAAAACAGCAAATCGTTTACATTGAAACCACATGTGACCAGGGGTAGCTTACTACTAGGCCACAAATGGAGAAGAAGAAAGTAATAAAACAAGAAAACAAAAAGAGACTATTGTTCTTTGAGACTGCAAGAACCTGAATCCTCATTTCCCTGAACTTATATCTCTATACCTCAAAGCCAACATGATAACCAGCTACTAGCTCTGTCAGTATCTTGGCCTGGTTCCACCATCTTCTACTTATCACCCAACTCAATGATTAAATGGTTAAGTCAACTGCCAGTCTTTTCTTTTTGTGAATGCACTTTTCACATGCTGCTCTAAATCACACCCTGCTCTTTCCACCTTCCCCTCCCCTCCAGACATTAGAGTAGACAGGGCTGGAGTGCTGTTTTGGTTAACACCCAATTCAGTGTTCAAAAGATGCAGATAAGTGAAATTAAGGTCCTAATTATACTGTACATACATAATATCTTGACTACAACAATGTGCTTAAAATACATTAGCAGTGGGTTTATCTTCTGTATTTACTTCAGAACGTGTTAGCATTTAATTGATGGTCCAATCTTGTCACTACAAGCTGGCTTTGAGATACAATGGTCTTTGTGATTTAAAGTATCACAGTATATAGATAGATACTCATATACCTTGTTAATCTATTGGGAGCCATCGTTCATCATTTGGCATATAATAGAATGAAGAAAATAAGCATTTTCAAGCCTGGTATATTCACTCAAAATCAATCATTAAAAACACAGTTTGAAGATATGAAGATTGGATGGAGAAAAACTCTAGTTGTTTTCTTTGTGGGTCATGTGGGACAATGATATAAGCAAAGTCAGTGTCAAGGATTAAAGTGATATTAGTTTCTTATTTACTCCAGACCGTACAAATCCTCCTCTTTACTGCATTTTTTGTCAAAAGTTAAATTAAAAAGGTTTAAAGAGGGGTTTGGTGACAGAGCAATTGTGCAAAAATAAATTCTGTACACCCAGAAACTCAAGCACTGTAACAGCTGCACAGAGAAACATATTCATAAAATGCTCACTGTGCATTCCATGTACATCATGTTCAGTGACTTGAGGGAAGAGTGATACTCAGCATGGTGGTCTTGGTGTTGCTTTTAAAACACAGGAATGCAGACCTGTTGCCCTGCATAGAGCTGTGGTTTGGGGAAAGGTGAAGAAACAAGCATCTTTCTTAGAGCTAAGTCTAATGCTACACAATCTTAGAATGGTACCTAGGGCCAGTAAATCACCATATTCCTCTGAGTCTCAAACTGTGGGCCAGTAAATCACCATATTCCTCTGAGAGTCTCAAACTGTGAAATCACCATATTCCTCTGAGTCTCAAACTGTGCAGAGGGCTGTGAATGAGCGCTTTGATGAACTGTGTGCTGGCGCTGGTTAAGGTGGTGATCAGGGAGGTTCTGGTCAAATTGTGCCACTAACTGCAGCACTTTGTGACATCTTTAGGGTCTCTGCAGGATCTGAACACTCACAGCTGACCATGAGCAGAGTTGTGAGTGCATGTCTATGACCTTTTGCCCCAGAGGGGAGAAGTGAAAGAAAGAGGCTTGTGGGGGTTAATGATGGTGCAATCTGTGAGGCCGCACAAAGTGAGCCATTTGGCAGCCAAAAAAATGACCACTCTCACAAAGAATTTTAGGGAAGATAATCTCAGTGACAGGCACTTACATTTAATGAATGAAATCCAGCTTGCATTGACCACTCTGTGCTCAAACCGCCATCCATCATCATGAGACAAATACTTAGATAAATTTGCATTGATATTTTTTGCAGCAGAAACCCATCTGTTAAATTGCAAGCACAAAGAAATCAAGGGTCAATGCACTTACCTACAAAGTGCATAAAAGGGCCACAGACCATAGTGGTTATGTTGCTTTTTTAAAATGTATTTATTGTTGTAGCAGGCAAATTGGTTCAGTGGATATGCAGCCATTACATTTGTTAGTTCCAAATACTTGGGAATAACTAAGCCTTAAGGTGCTAGTAATGCATTTCTTATACTTAATAAACATATTAGAAAGTTAGAACTTATGCTAGAATTAGAAGTGGAAGAGGATTTCTGAAGCAAAGTCATGTTTCAGAGTAATGTTGCTCCAACCATCAAGTCAGTTTACATTAATCAGCATGCAATAAGCAAGTGTGAAGAATTACCAGGTAATGAATTCATCATGTCTCAAAGTGGTTTCATGAGCATGACTATGAGTTTAATGTACTTTCAAGGCCTCCCCATCAACAGATTTAAACCTCGTAAATCACCTTTGGGATGTGGTATAACAGGAGATTGGCAGTATGAATGTGCAGCTCACAAATCTGCAGAAATTATTTGACACAGTTTTGTAAACACAGACCAGAATCTCAAAGGAACATTGCCTGTGCTATGAAGAACTGGTCATGTTTTTTTTGTTTTTTTGCAGTAATTTACTGTTTACTGTTGATAAGGCACCGAGACCTTCATGTTTAGTAAAAAATGATCACTTTTATTACACACTAACAATGAGATATGTCTTATTTTTACCACAATTTTCACACAAGGATCATGTATTGCTACTTACTCTACTGTTGTGGCTCAGGAGGTAGAGTGGGTCATTTCCTAACTGGAAGGTTGGTGGTCTGATTCCCAGCTTCTCCAGTCCACGTGCTGAAGTGTCCCTTGAGCAAGACATTGAACCCCAAGTTACTCCTAGTGATATCACCGGTGTATGAGTGTGTATGTGCTTGGGAGTGTGAATGGACAAATAGTGTGAGTGTGCTGCAATGCATAGAGGAGTGCTATTCAAGTATAAGACCATTTACTCTTTACTTATTATAGAGTTCCCTGGTAATAAAAACAACTATTTTTATTCACATTAATCCCTCAGAAAAGCAACTGAAGGGTGGTAGAGGGACCTTATTGCACCACTTATCTTGACTACCTGTTGCACCACAATGCAGAGATTGCTGCTACAACCTCTATTGAAGCATGAATGCACTTTTTGTAATGTACCATACATTTGCTCATTTGAGGCTGTAGTTCTATTGGAAATGCATGCCTATCTTCTTTTCCTTTTCTCTGCTTTTATACGAGGCATTAAATGGCAGGCACAAAAATCTGCCAAAAAGGTTTTTATCTAATTAAAAAATATTGAGATGCTTACCCAGGCAGGCTGTAATAAAAGTCAAACCACTTCAAAATACACCTCTGCCTCCCCTTTCATAATGTAAGGTGTCTCTGGAATATGAAGGAATAACTCAGTAAATGACAGTGACATTTCTGACTGACACCACTGTAGATATATGGTCTGACTGACACCACTGTAGATATATGGTCTGACTGACACCACTGTAGATATATGGTGGGGGATTTGTAGCCATAAACTGAAAATGAACCACAAAGCAATGAGTCTATATCAGTGTAATTCAATACTATTATCACCTCTCATGTTTGATGTTAAGTGCAATTAATCATATAAAAGGCTCTTATCAGTATGACACGCCTTTTCCAGCTGGGAGAACAGAGCACTTCCTGGCAGCTTTTGACCACAAATAATAGAACTTAATTCCACAGACCAGAGTCATTGGCAATAAAATCTGAGGGTCTGGAAATTTACATGCACTGGAATGGCTGATATAAAAACCATCATTAATTTGGTCTACCACAAATGTTGTAAAGTGTACTTAGCTTTATTTAAAACAAGGACCAATTATTTTGTGAGCCTGGGACCCACGGCCACTCAGGATTTCAAGGACTTTGTCAATATATAGACCTCTTATGAGGCTCTGTTTGATAGAAAACCTCTTCATAGCAGGAGCAGTATTTTAAGTCAAACGAATACTGCTATCTGGTGGCAGCAAAGAATATGTACACCACATAAGTTTATCATCAGGAACCAAAGCATGTAGTACTGCATTTAACCACTAGAGTATAGTACATGTAAAGATTTACTCAAGTTTATGAGCCATGTCCTCATCTCACCTCACAAAACGGACACTAACCTGTAATTGAGACATAAAAAATGTCCATAAAATAAAGACTGTCTGGTGCTTATATATTAGGACAGCACTTAGATGACTTTTTTGGTCAATGCGCACCAATATATGCCACAAACACTCCAGAATATGCTGAATACATTACAAACAAATGTCATGGAACAAAGTGTATGGATTTATTTGAGAATGCAGTTAAATGAATCCCTCCTTGCGGAGATGTTAATCCTTAGATCATTATTATGGGCTGTGAATGGCTTCCTTAAAATCCTCTTCAAAGACATAAATTGGTGGAATTAAGGGATTAGTGTGAATTTTGCTGCTATTTACCAGGGTGTAAAATTGCTCTGACTGTGTCTAATTCAATATATGAACAGTTAACTAGCTTCTTACACTGCACTGCAGGGAGCAAAATCAAATTCAGTCTGGTTGATCAGATATCACTGTTTGCATATTTGTATGTGTTGCGTAGTTTAGCAATAGTTAAGAAAATGTACCCAAATTAACACTGACTGCATGGATTCAGTCTAAGGGGATTGAAATATGACTAGTTTGTTAATAATCTTAATTGTTGTTGGCTGACTTCCCAAATAGAAACATTAACAGTCACTTCATACAGAAGTTCTGGTCCAAAGGCCCCCTAATTCCCTGGGCCTGTGCTCAGTAGGCCTGTTCAATAATCCATCCATGCACACATAGTATGTATGGCTATACTGTCACAATTACATATAAACACACACATACACACACACTATCTCTGAGTTAAGCTTGCAGGTATATCATTCAACACCTGCTTTCTTTCCGGGACACTGGCCCAGTTCAGGTATAACCTATGGATATTTGCGTTGTGTCTGTTTGTTTGTTGTATTTTTTACTAAAAAGCTTGCTCTTTAAAACTAAAATTAACAATAATTTAAAGAACAGTGTCAGGGGCCAAACAATAAGGCAGAGGACACAGCTTTTAAAGTTCAAAAACAACGGGCTTTTTTATTAACCCCAAAACACAAACAACATCAATATCAAATAAACTGGGCCCTAAAACAGGTCAACAGAAGATAGGGAAACTCAAAATACAGCAAACTGAACTGTCTGATAACTCAACAAAAAAAAACAAAAAAACAACTGACCTAACAAGTGACACACACACTCAGGGGAATATATATACAGCATATTGGCTGGCCAAACCAATAACACACACAGGGGATAGACCAAAAACACTATCAAAATAATCAGCTAATAAACACTAATCAGACAGTCTGATAACGACTAAACATTTTACATAACTTAACAAATAATGTCTTAACATAAATTACAGACAAATGAACAACACCTTCCCCCCAAACTCCCCCCTTTCTTGTATCCAATGGTGTATTCCAGGTCTGGAGGGAGGTATTTAACCCTGTCATGGACCAGGAAACATGGTAACTCAAGAGGAAATGTACACATATTAGCAATACAAAACTAACCAAACATAGTGGCCATTGATCAATTATATATGTGCAATATCAAACAATACCTAACATTTACCTACAATTTAAAACTACACACCTAAATAAAGAAAAAAAGATTACCCAACCAGGTCTACTGCTGGTGATGGTGGTTTAGGCCCTCACATGGTGAAGGCCAGGGCCTAGGCCTTCACAAACTGATAATATTGCAAGGTCTGCAAGCAAGTGCCCCAATATCTCTCAGATATTATAAAGTCATTTGCAACTTAATGATGCAAACAGAGGTTTCATGACTGAAATGCATTACTTCATTAAGCAACTACTTTGCTTTATTAAAAGGAGAAAGCTACTGAACTGATTTAAAGTAATACAACATCATTATTTTGCATGGTTAACTTCTGCAGTGGCACTCATTATATTCAGCTTGTTTCCAGCAACACCAGGCTCTAAAAGTGGAGTGAAACTCACTCTATGAGACTTAATGAAATGGAGCAAAAGACTGAGCAGGCTGCCTTTGGCTTTTTTTTTCATATCTTCTTCTTATCTGGACAGAAACAAATAGTTATGTCATTTTCTCCCAAGTTATACTATGGCAAGTTTATTATCTGATGTTTTTCATATCTTTATGGCTTTAGAAAAAGAAGTCAAGTGAATATTTTCCTGTTCCGTCCAGGATTCAGGAGCGCAAGGTTGACTAGAGATAACTATCATAATCTCAAAAAAATTAAAAGAAGGGGTATTTTTAAAAAAGCATTTCAGTTTATTAATTCAGCCAGTGCCCTGCATTTTGCTTTCAGAAGTTTTTCTTGCCAATTTTGGTCGGTGGCAAACCGTATAAAACTGTCAAGAGGTGTTTTTCTCACAACTTGTTGCAGAACGTTTATTTTGAAAGCGACAGTGGAAAATGTGGCCTGTATTATTGTTGACTTGACACTGGTCCTCTGCATAAACAGCTTCAGGGAGGCAGGATTAGGATGGACATTGTGGGAGTTACATGGACTGAACTTATTAAATGTGTTCAGTTGTACGCTCACGCTCGGGGGAAGGTGTCTCGCATTGCTGTGCAACGTTCATCTTTATTTCATTTTTCAAATGAGTGGCGTTGTTATCCCGCATTTCGGTATTTTTTGTAACTTTTCAGTGCAGAGACAGTTTGCGCCCACTCTTTGGACCGTGACGCCAATTTAAAACGTTCTCAAATGAGTTTTTGTGATGTTAAATTTTGAACAGCTGAGGGTCATAAGGTTTGCACTGATTTACTCACAATGACTGAGGAGAGCAGAACTGAGCACAGAGCTGAAAGCGGGAAGGACTTGGAGAAACAGCTACGATTACGAGTGTGCGTCCTAAATGAACTTTTAAAGACTGAACGGGATTATGTCGGGACGCTAGAGTTTCTCTCGGTGAGTTTTGGCTATTTTAACGAGTGACAACACATATGCGCACTTTTTTTTCAAGAAAATGAAACCCCAAAGCAGACAAACAAAAACAGCCTGCCTGTTTAGTATGCACGGTGCGTCGGGTTCCAACGCGTCCACCTTTAAATGTTAATAACCAGCACAAACTCCCCCGCATACTGTTCCTTTTACTGATGTGAGCAGGGTGTCACACATAAGAATCACCGTTTTATACTGTCAACCTCCAACACTTTGTCAACCCACTCCACTGATGGAGATATAAACTTTTCAGATTGCAAGTGTGAAATTGGAGGGACAGTCATAAAGGGGCATGTTACAGCTTTAGTTCCCGCGCTGCCAGTGGGATTAATGTGAATAAAAATAGTTGTTTGTATTACCAGGGAACTCTATAATAAGTAAAGAGTAAATGGTCTTATACTTGAATAGCACTACCGGAACTGGCAACACATCTGCAGCCGCACACTGAGTGTTACACTCGGTTGCTGCAGCACAGGAATGATGCGCTGTCAGCTTAATGACATTACAGAAAACAACACCCAAGACGTGATGGAAGGGCAACTAGGATAGCACTTCCCATTTAAACCAGAAAGTGGTGAAGTTGTCATTGTTAAAAGCTGGTAATCAATTAACAATCAGTGGCTACTCAGGGTTTTGCAGTGAGTGTGTTGATGTTGTGATCATGTACTGTGCGCACAGATCGCTTCCACTGTGTTTTTTCAGTAGATTCACTTTCTCCTCAACAATGGGAAGTTTGCAGGGTTGTCAGTTATGTGTTTCACAGACTGCATCTACTGTATGAAAGTGTACACCCTGACACCCCTCCTGCTGCCCAGATGTCTTGAATTCAGGACAGAAGGACCAAGGAGGACAGGGGGTTTTATCTGGAATTTCTTAGAAGTGGCATCACTGGAGAAATGGAGGGAGCAATTACACAAGGGGTTGTGTCCTCTGTCTTTGTGGTGGGAGTTTTGGGGAATGCAGCCACCCCTCCTCTATCTCTCCTGTAGAGCTGGAACTGGGATTCATCTCAGAAGTGACTGATCCTTTCAAAGCCACTTTGTTCATATCATGGAAGCATTATATCCAGATCTGACAGGAAAAGATAGCTAATTGTTGGTTTGACTGCTTGTTACAGCCAATAGAGCTGGATATTGATGAAAAGGAGGTGAGAAAGAGGAAAAGACAAAGTTTCCATTATCTTGTCTTTTTGTCCTGGAGAGCATGGTGGGAGATACTTAGGATGATCAAAGACAGCCCTACTTATAGAGAGGGGTTATATTCAAGACTTTCATTTGATCACACACAAACCAATCCCCCCCCCCATGTCCACTTTATTGCCCTGTTACCGCCAGTTGCAAACCAAACAAGTTTGTGTGTCTAGAGGTCAGAAAGGAGGCCAGCCCTGCCCCCCTTTGTGTGGCTCCCTCTTGGGATTATCCAGGGGACTCATTACCAGGAGGGAGAGGAGTAGATGGGATATCGCCAAAAGGGTGACGGGTGGGGGTGGGGAGCGATCTCCAGGAGTGACTGGGCTTGGTGCCTTCTTTTGTAAAACCATATTTCCTGAAGGAGGAATTCCTCAGAGGTTAGGAAATGCTGGGGAACAATGAGGCTTCAGGCAGTTGAACTGTAGAGATTCTTGCTGCTGATCTGTGGAACCCAAACACCATGCACCTCACATATACTTTACTATTGAGATGACCAAAGCAGTTTATCCAAGGACAGTCTGAACTTATTGTGTACTTTCTTGTGGGAAAATAGGCAGATTACAGTCAATGAGTTCTTTGTATTTTTTCATGTTTTTAGCCACACTATCTCATTAAATACTTTAAATCTCAGAAAACTGATTATCAGGGGATGACATTTACACTATTATTTTAAATACAGCAGAATATTATTGTTTTATGTGAAAAATGTGTAGGTCAGTAGACAAGTTGGTCGCCACTGCCTCTTTTCAGTGAAACACATGACAACCATGATCTGAGTGATGTTGACTGTTGTACCTCCAAATTTCATTGGCACAGAATCAGAAATCTCAGGCTGAAAACAGCCAATTCCAATCTCCTCCGATTGGTCTGTGCATCTCTAGATGACACTGATGCAAAGCGTAAACATCTATGCCAGATGTACCATTATTTTGACACTCTAGTAGAATCTAGTTTCACCTACATCCATATGAACTGAACAGGTTAGACAATAAATGGCAGTTGTTAGGGTGATTTTCATTATTAGATAGAAATGAATATAATTAGTTAGGGTTTTACACGCCTCACACAGTTCAGCTGCTGTGTACTCTGGAAATTCACATTAGTGTGCAGAACAGCGGTGCATGCGGAGAATGAATTGGGCAGCTGGGATTAGTGTTGCAGATGAGTCATTAAACCTTGAGTCCAAGTCACCAAAAAATAGTCTGAGTCAAGTCCCCGTTACCTGAGTCCAAGACGTCAAGATCTACATTAAACACAACTGACACAGCTGCCGTCGTTTTAAAAAGGAGCTTGCTTACTGCGATATACTACTTGGATGTCCTTGTCTCCAACTTTTCCGAACACAATAAACAGTCCTAGTCTGACTCATCAGCGCTCAAGTCCAAGTCAATTCACAAGTCCTGAAAATCAGGACTCTAGTTGGCCTGGATTCGAGTACTACAACACTGGCTGGGACTTTTCTTTTTTGTTTTATACTGTGTCCCAGAAGGTGTAGTGACTGTTCCATCCAATTATATTGAATGCCGTGTTGACGTGTATTTTTTGCTCTTTTTAAGTTGATGTTTATTATGATCCCCGTCAGGCTAGAACTGCATGTTTCCTCCTCACTGAGCACGATCCTGAAATTCAGATCTGCCAGAGTAATTGGATTTGATTTCTCCTTAGTAAAAATGCTGGCAGTTGCTTTTTTGTCTGTCCCTGGTGTCAGGCCCCATAATGAAGTGCCTTACTTGCATTTTAATTTCACACCAGGGCCTCTAAACAGGTGGCCTGCATTTTAGGCAGTATTTGCAAAGATGTAAACATCATTTCTCCTTGTTTTTTACCTTTTTTTTTTTTTAA